AAAGTTGGTCTTGCCGTCGAACTTCGCAACATCAATCTTTGTATTATTGATGCTCAGACTCTGTATCGCCTTCGTAAGAGACCATCCCAATGTGCTTGCTTCTCCCATGTTGTCGATCTAACTCTTCAAATAAGAATCCTTCAGGGAATCCTTCAAACAAGCTCCAAGCCAAAACCTGAGCTCTGATACCACTTGTTGTGCGTAGCGAAAATTTCTACAGCACCACTGGTGTACAATAAGAGAGTAAGATCACAACTAAATCCCTATTTCATAGAAAACAAGAATCGACAGTGATATATCTCAACGAAATGGGATATACACTCTTCCTCTCATTAGTTCTAGGACTGACTTGTCGAGGGAACCTAATAAGCTATTACAAATCACAGCAAACACTAGTAGAAAATCAAGCAAACTAGACGGAACAACCTAGACAGAATATAATTCCGTCTAGTTTGAGGTAATCTAGACGGAATCATTTCCGTCTAGATTGTTCCGTCTAGATTGCCTCAATCTAGACGAAAAATTCCGTCTAGATTGGCAACCTGGACGGAACGTGTGTGTGGAGTATTTTGGTTTTGAGACCGAGCGCCACATTTTCCCCCTAAAATTTCATTTCACCGCTTAAAAACCCTAAAACTTAATCAGATACCTAATTCTTCATTCAGCCGATCTCCTCCTTCGCCTCTCATCCTCCTCCGCTCAAACTTCCCGTACATCTCCACGCCGACCTCGACGGTGTCGAGATCCCTTCTCCTCTGCATCTCGTTGACAGCCCCGTCCTCCTCCAATGGCCACTTCACCGACAAATCCTCCTCCGCTCGTCGCTCCTCCTCTCTCTCCGTCCCCGCCCTTCTCCTCCTCTCCCTCCTCCTCCTCCTCCATTCCTCCGGCCCTCTTCTCCTCAACCCCTCCCCCTTCTTCCCTCCTCCGATCCAAATGGCGATCCTACACTCTCGCCGACGCCGCCACCTTCGTCGCCGCCAAGGGAAAGGGTGCCGGCCACGAGATCGGGACGGTGATTGTCTGCGCTGTGAGCAAACCCTACTTGAGTGCTTGTTCAGTTTATTTCCCTTTTTTTGGCATGTTCCTTAGTTTATTTCCTTTTTTTTTTGTGCATGTTCTTTTTTTTTCATTTTTTGGGGAGAAAATACATGTTCCTTATTTGTGTTACAATGTTTTCACCTTTTCACGGTTGCACAGACTCACCTAATGCTCTGGAGTGCTTGTTCAGTTGTCTATTTTAAGCATTATGTTCTAATCATTTCGACGTCTGAATTAGTGACCATCCTCTTCTGAGTTCTAACTTTTTCTGCAGTGATGGTTCATAAAACAATTGATCATTATGGACATTGAAAATTAAAAATTATTACTTGTTTTTCTCCCCTTGACCTTTGATGTCTAACACCACAAATGATATAGTTTGACGGCTAACATATTCAATACTCTTGTAGTTGTATAATATTCGTTACAGTGAAGCATTCTTTCATCGTAGTGCACAGTAAGTTATTCTCTATGGATAAAAAAATCATTCAATTTTGAGAACGGATTTTCCTTTTACCAACCTAAACTCTCATATTTTGATTTATAATCTACTTTGTCCCTGTATCATTGAATAAATGTTCACAATAGAAGTTGGTGGAAGTGGAAATATATGGGAATGCCATGGGTAGTAAATTAGCATGCACCTAAGGTTCCAATGAATGCCTGATCTTCGTTCTTTATGTCTCAACTCTCGTATGTTAATGCATCTTTCTGTTTTTACCTTCCTCCTGAATACTGCAAAGTGATATATTTATGTATTTTAATTTTAAATTGTGGTTCAGAAATGAAGTCATCCTCCCTTGTGGTTCTGCTACTAGATTTGTCACAGAATTTTTGTGGTTCTGCTACTAGATTTGTCACATATATGCAGCCATTGTGAGTCGGATCAAGTTAATTCCTTGAATTGATACGCCCATAACATCTCTGCTGTTTCCTCTGAAATTCTGATCTTTCATTTATGCCAATTACCACTTCTCAAAGCTTAAGTTTGTGCCAACTAAAGCCTTGCTCCATGGTAAAGGTAAGGTGTGAGATTAGATAATGGGAGCAACCTTTGTTCAATAGAAAGAGGAAAGCAAAAGGCTTGTCATTATCTGCACAAAGAGTAATATTATAAATTACAATTTATTATTTTTATTATATATATCTGTTACTAACTGTAATTTTCTAACTTGGCATTATATTCAAAAAATAATAATGAGAAGCTTTTTGGTAACAGTATGAAGATATGTTGATTACCTCTGCTTTATTAAAGGAAAAACTAAGTATAATGGAATGTTGTTATTCCATCATTAACTTTTTTAACGTCTCTAATTGTATTTCCAAATGGATGATTGCAGATATTTGAATGGAGCCTGCAGAATCAAGGTCAAGCCGTCTCTAATTGTATTTCCAAATGGATGATTGCAGATATTTGAATGGAGCCTGCAGAATCAAGGTCAAGTTCTTTGGTCTAGAGATTGCAGTAGGTACAACATAATTATGTAATTCATTATTAATATTTTTATTTTCTGTTTTATGTTTACCTTTGCACCTTATAAATGTATGGTATCTCAAATGGTGTTTACCATACTTGATCTCAATCTAAATGTTCTCTTATGATTTTTCCCTTTGGTTTTCATGACTCTTTATAAGACTATAATTCAATATTCCCCCCATATTTCTAGTTATATCTGTCTGTAAGAGGTTCAAGAATGAAGTCATGCAGCTTCAAGTGCCGATACAGGGAGTAGCCCCCTTCCGGACTGCCTTGCGTAATTTGAATCGTGTGAAGGTATTGAAATGGTGTTGTATAATGCTTTCTAAGTTAATGCTTTCTAAGTGTATTTCATGGCATGGACTAATTGATGTTGAATTTTGTATAATGTAGGATCAAGGAGGAAGAAACATGATGCTTCAACAATTTGGAGGAGTAAATGCAATTGGATTTTATAAATTATGCAAAGTTCATCAAGTTATGTAAACAATTGTATTCTTTATGAGCGGACTCTTTGGTGCATGTTAGCAGGCGATTTTCCTGCTAACTTGCGCCCCCGCTGAGGTTTGAAAATGGCAAAAAAGAAGAGGAAAAATGAGAAGAAAATCCTGGAAATTGGATTAAGAACAGCGAATGAAGTTGAAGATGAAGGATCCATTGCAGATCTAATGGGATCAACTGGTCCAAGGGGAGAGCGGAAGAAAGTTTTAATGGCGGATCTCTTGAATTCAGATCCAGGTCCAGTAGTTTTCTCTTCTCGAGTAGCTGATCCTCAATCTCATCGAAAGATAGGTATGTCTTCAAGTTCTCAATCTATCGCAAGTAATTCTATGAGAAAATCTTGGGCTGAAGAGGTAGAATCTGCTGTTCCTCTCTTGTATCAACATCGGAATTTGATTCCTACTAGTAATCTAGATAGATCTTTAAGTTCTTCACGGAATCTTGAAACAATTTTGACTCCTGCAAATAATCTAGATAGATCTATGAATTCTGCATGGAATCTTGAAGCAAATTCTGTTCTGGATGATATTCCTATTAATGACAGTGTTAAGAATACTAAATCTGCAAAGGATCCTCTTCATGAGAATATATTGAATTCTGCTTGTAAACTTGGGAATGACTCTGTTCCATTAGAAGAGAGTGATAGTGCTAAAGCTTCCATTAATCCTGATGTCCCTAAAGATCAAGGTCCTGCTAAGTTGAAAAGCTGGGCTAGTCTTTTCTCAGACAACAGGAAGCTAGGTTCTGGGATGAATCTGAGTTTTGTGGCTCCTAACTCTAAAGAAGCTGTTTTTTTTTATGAAGAAGAGTGGAATGAAGGCAATGCCATATGACAGTTTTCTTTAATTGGGCAAGTTTTGGGGTTAAATGTTAAATTTAAGGCCATGGAGAATTTTGTGCACAAAGTTTGGGCTCGGTGGGTTATCCCTGAGATTTGCATTCTTAAACTAGGGGTTTTCCTTTTCAAATTCAAGAATCAATTAGAGATGGATGATATTCTTGTGAATGGGCCATGGTTTTTTGGTTCAAGGCCTCTTTTACTGAAGAAATGGTCAAATGAAGATGGAATTGACAGTACAAATGACAACATATATCCTCTATGGATTCAGTTTCCAGGATTAAGGCTCAATTTATGGAATTCCAAAAGCCTAAGTAAAATAGCTAGTTTAATTGGCAGACCTGTTGCAATTGACAAATTAACAGCTAGTAGGCAAAGATTGGCCTATGCTAGGGTGCTTATTGAGGTACATATGCCTTCCGCTCTACCTGATCACATTGTTATACAAGCTCCTAATGATATGATGATTAAACAAAGGGTTATCTATGAGTTCAAACCTAAATGGTGTGAAAATTGCAAGTCAGTGGGTCATGATACCACTGTGTGCAGGAAGGTCCATAAGAGGTGGGTGCCAAAGAAAGGCATCAAGCCTGCAGCTGATATTCTAGCTCCAGTGGCATTGAGTATGTGCAGCAAGGGCACTGGGAGTAACTCTGAGCATATTCAGGAAAGACCTACAAATATGGTTGGAGTTGTCAATGCTGTACAAGCCCAAAGTGTACCTCAGGATGATTTGAATATGTGCATGGATACTGGTAGCAATGGGAATAATTCCATGCATGTTGTGCATGTTCAGGAGCATCAGAGGCCTGTTGATGGTTTAAATATGTGCAGGGGTCCTGTTGACACTGGAAATAACTCCGTGCATGTTGTGCATGTTCAGGAGCAGCAGCCTGTCTTTGCTATGCACTCACCTGAAAAAACATCTCAGGAATCTAGGATTTTGTGCAATAAAGTTGGTGAATCTGGTAACAGCTTTGTACATATTAGCCAAAATCAATACAGACCTGGGAATTTAGCTATTTACAAGGGTAAAGGAATTATACAAAGCAGGAAAAGCTTAAATATTGGAAATTCTTTTGCTCATCTTACAAATCTGGAAATTGATCCCTCTACTGTTGATAGGGGGGATGTGACAAATATATGAATTGGTCCTTTTGGAATGTTAGAGGATTGAACAAATCCTCTAAACAGCACTTGGTAAAGCACCATCTGAAACAATACCATCTGTCTTTCCTAGCTCTACTTGAAACCAAAATCAAGGCTGAAAATATCTCAATTGTTGCTAAGAGGCTTGTTGTCAACTGGAAATGGTGTTCAAATGCAAGCAGCACCAGTAAAGCAAGGATAATATTAGTATGGGATCCAAATATTCTGGAAGTTCTTATTGAAAGTATATCTGACCAGCAGATTACTTGCAAAATTAAATCATTGGATGGGAAAATTGACTGTGTAATTTCCTCCGTATATGGTCAAAACCAAGTGGATAAAAGAAGAGAATTATGGATGAATCTCACTCATATTTACCAGACAATTGGCAACTCACCATGGTTACTGTGTGGGGATTTCAATGTAATAATTGGTAATGAAGAAAAATTAGGGGGGACTATTCTTTCTGAAGCTGATACCAATGAGTTCAGGGAATTCATTGATTTTTGTCACCTCTCTCACCTTAAAACTGAAGGTTGTTTCTATACATGGAACAATAAGCAAGATGCTCACTCTAGAATTTGGAGTAGACTGGATAGAGCTCTCATTAATGATGCTTGGTTACAAAAATATAACTCTAGTCATGTGGAATACCTGCTGCAAAATTTCTCAGATCACTCCCCTGGATTAGTATCAATATATGATGATTGTGCTAAGGGAAAAAAACCTTTTAAATTCTTTAAGATGTGGACCAAACACAAAAGTTTTCTGCCTACTGTATCAAGAATATGGCAAACAAAAATAAAGGGATATGCTATGTTCGCAGTGTATACTAAAATGAAGCTGCTGAAGAGTGAGCTGAAGGATTTAAATAAAAGGCACTTTAGTAACATCAGTGAACAAGTTCTTAGAGCAAAAGTAGCTCTTGATGATGCTCAAACAAATCTTCATTCTGGCCCTCTAAATCAAACTCTTATTGAGCAGGAAAAAAACTATATTATCTCATACAACAAATTGCTGGACTGTGTGCTATCCTTTTATCAACAAAAGGCTAGGATTTTGTGGAGTGTCCAAGGTGACAGGTGCACTAGTTACTTCCATTCTGTTATCAAATCAAAAAGACATCAGAACAGGATTCTGATGCTATACAACAGTGCAGGGGAAAAATTAACTGATGAAGAGAAGATTACATCTGAATTTATATCTTTCTATAAGAATCTTATGGGAACAAACTCTGCCACTGCAAATATTGACAAGAATATAATTGGAAATGGCCCCTATTTGAGTGAAGCACAAGCTAGAACCCTGTCAAATCCAGTAACCAGATAGGAGATCAAATCTCACTGGCTATAGTATATCCTTCTATAAATCTGCTTGGGGGGTTGTTGGAGATGAAATCTCACTGGCTATAGAGGACTTCTTCAAAACTGGGAAACTTTTGGGGGAGATCAATTCCACAGCTATCACTTTGGTACCAAAGGTGCAATGTCCCAAAAACCCAGCTGATTTCAGGCCTATTGCATGTTGCAACTGCTTATACAAATTCATCTCAAAAATATTAGCAAACAGGATCAGATCAGTGATGGGCTTTCTAGTTAATGAAGCTCAGAATGCTTTTGTCAAGGGAAGACAGATATCAAGTAACATTCTATTAGCACATGAACTTGCAAAGAATTACAATAGGAAACACATATCTCCAAGAGCCATGCTTAATATTGATATCAAAAAGGCTTTTGATACCATTAACTGGGGATTCCTCAAAGAGATGCTTATTGGTCTGGGATTTCCTGATGCATATGTAGGATGGATTATGGCTTGCATTACATATCCTAAGTATTCTATAGCTTTTAATGGTGCATTGCATGGTTATTTCAAAGGAGAAAGATGACTTAGACAAGGAGACCCTCTCTCTCCCTACCTCTTTATCCTAGGCATGGAATACCTCTCAAGAAGATTGGAATTGTTGAAAGAGGACAGGAACTTTAAATTTCATCCAAAATGCAGGAAATTCCAAATAACCCACTTAATATTTGCTGATGATCTTCTCCTTTTTTTCTAAAGGTGACCTATATTCAGTGAACAAGCTCTATCAATGTTTCAGTGACTTTTGTGCAGTCTCAGGTCTCAAAGCAAACTCAAACAAATGCTCAATCTTTTATGGAGGGGTTGCAGATTCAGTAAAAGCTTCCAACTTCAATTGTTTGGGTTTTTCAGAGGGGACAATGCCTATTAGATACCTTGGTGTTCCTCTCGTATGCAAAAGGCTCTCTTATACAGATTGTGCACCTCTATTAAAAAAAATTACTGATCTATTTCAGTCTTGCAAAAATCATAAGAAATTATCATATGCAGGGAGGTTGCAGGTTATAAAGAGATCTATCTTAGGAATTCAAGTCTTCTGGACCTCAAATTACATCTTGCCTGCAAGAGTTCTCAAAAAAATAGATGAATTGTGCAGGAATTTTCTGTGGGGGAAATATGATCAATCTGTTAAAGCAGTCCTTATGGTCTCTTGGGAGAAAGTTTTCTTGGACAGAAAAAAAGGAGGATTGGGGATCTTCTCTGCCTCTATATGGAATCTAGCCTCTGCAGTAAAGCTTCTTTGGCATTTGCATATTAACAAGGAATGCTTGTGGATTAAATGGGTGAATGGGACATATCTAAAAAACTACAATGTATGGCAAGTTCAAGCAAAGAGGGGAGACTCATGGATGTGGAAACAAATTTTGAAAGCTAGGGATAAAGCTGTGGAACTTAGTGGAAATGTTGACAACCTAAAACAGATGATCAAATCCACTTCCAGCAGCTCAAAAATCAAAATTGCTGAAATACATAGAGCTCTCTCCCCTGCATCAAATTCAGTCCTATGGCATAACATGGTCTGGGGAGGTTTATCCTATCCAAAGCACTCATTTATCTGTTGGTTAGCTGTTAATAACAGATTACAAACTCAAGACAGGTTATTAAGGAAAGGGAAAGTGAATGCAAATCAATGTAAGTTGTGCACTGGTGTATGCTTAGAGAGCCGAGATCATCTATTTTTTGAGTGTTCCTTCTCCAAGGAGGTATGGAATCAAATCATGGATTGGCTTCATTTCAAATGGAGATCATGTTCTTGGAATTCCATCTTTAATTGGTATTGTACAAAATTAAGAAAGAAAGGCATAAAGCAGAATATCAAGAGATCAGCTTTATCAGCAACTATATATCATCTATGGTATGAGCGGAATATGAGAACTTTTCAGCAGGTTTCCAAGTCTGAAGAGAGCCTGGTTAAGAGAATCAAAGTTGACATTCTAACTATATGCCTAAATTCTCCTAACATTGCTGGGAATTTAACTGATTGGATCAGTTCTTAGTTTTGTATAGATTTTGATATTTCTGTTTTTTTTGTCCTCTGATTGAATTCTCAAAACCTGAGAATCTAGAAGTATGTAAATGTTCACATTTGGGAAATGAATAAAAGTTTTTCATTGACCAAAAAAAAATTGTATTCTTTATAATCTATGTAAAAAATTTATGTATCTTTCTAGTATTTTGGTGAATGTATTTTTTGAATATAATTATATTTGATATTAAAATATAATTAGATTGATTGTGTTGGATATGAATATGATTTGGTGTTGTGCAATATTATGAACATGTTATATTATATAACGTGTAATGTGGGTTTTGCAAAAAAAAAAAGAAAAAAAAACTACTGTAGCAGAGCAACCTAGACGGAATTCCGTCTAGGTTGCTACTGTAGCAATCCATCTAGGTTGGCAAACTAGACGGAATTCCGTCTAGTTAACTAACCTAGACGGATTTCCGTCTAGGTATCAACCTAGACGGATTTCCGTCTAGGTTGTTTTCCGTCTAGGTTGGCAAACTAGATGGAATTCCGTCTAGCTTGCCCCAATCTAGACGGAAATATTCTAGACGGAGCAAACTAGACGGAATTCCGTCTAGGTGAACCAATCTAGATGGGAAATGGAGCAATCTAGACGGAAATTTTCGTCTAGATTGTTCGTTTTTCTACTAGTGAAAACAAACTATTTTACGTGGTTCGGCAAGTTACCTATGTCCACGGGGCAAGGAGGGGGATCTACTATTAGAGAGAAAAAGAATACAAATAGGGTTTACAATCACACAAAGTCTCACAAATAAAACCCTCAAACAAAGTCTCAAATTTCTCACAATTTCTCTGTTAAAAGGGATGCACAAACCTTCTCAAATCTCCTCTTGATAGTCGGCAGCTCACTGTGTTTTTTATTTTCTTTTGCCGCTGCTTTTTCCGCCCCTGCTTGCTCAACCTAGGAACCGATTAAAAATCTATATATATCTCTGCAATAATCGGGTGGGCCTAGCCTGCTAAACTCGGATGTGGGTGGCTGGAAAGGGTCACGTGTGCGTCTAGGAGTAGCCCCCACTCACAACACACATATAAAGAAATGAGTTAGGAGAAAGAGGGAGTTGATATTAGTGGCGTGTTCCTCCGTCCTCTTCATCCTTTCATCTGGCGCGGTCTACCACGAAGGCAAAAGAGGAGGAAGCATGGATCGTGGCGAGGACGCTCACTTCTTTGATCTCCGAGTTTAGCTCAAGAGATTTGTTTACAGGATATATATCATTAGAACCATAATGCACTTACCATCTGCTTCCTATTGCCAGTGATCACTGAATCCCTATATATTATACATAACACGCATATGAATACCAGATCTTATCTTTCATGTTCATGTCCTGCAATATCGACAATCAATCTCACGTTTCTCATTATCCGTAGAAATCGTGTTTTGAATAGCAAAGGCATGAAATTTCATAAAATAGGGGTATATTTATGAAAGTATATCTCTGTCATTTGGATGTGCATGTTAAAGTGGAATTAAGTTCATCCTTGGATGAAGGTTCAAACTTTTAGTTGAGTTTCAACATTTTGGTATCTGAATCCTAGTTTTCTAGTGTCATGATTTGGACATGTACTGATTTGGACGTGTAATATCGGTTAAGAAATGATGTTTCACGGAGTTGAGGAGCAGTAGCCTGACAGGCTGCAGCTGGCTGGTTCAATGGCCAACTGACTGATAAGGAAGGTAGCCGACTAAGCTTGGACTCAGTCGCTCTGCTGGCCAGACTGATTGTTTCAGAAGCCTAAAAACATGCACAACTTCGTGCATGTGTTTTTAGAGACTAGTTTTCCCCGATAACTTTCACGTACCATGTTGTATGCAATTGGAACTTACATCACATGTTAGTGTGAACCAGTGGAACGTGTCCAACTCATATTTTGGTAATTTCACCTCAAACATTCAAAGTAAACAAGTTGAACAAAATTTCTATATGCGAATAATCGTAAGAGTCCTCTATGCTCTAAACATATTCCAGAGTTACGGATCTCACCAAATGTCTTTTATGCTTTAATTGATAACTAACTAAAAACTCATGACATTAGTGCAAAATAAGGTTGCCCCAACGGTTGTAACTGTTGGGGCAAATCATGACCCCAACAGTTAGGACCGTTGGTGCTAAAAAAAGACCGTTGGGGCAAATCGCGTTGGAGCTAAGTCAGCCCCAACGGTTGCCAGCCTTGCACCAACAGTTCTAACAGTTGGGGCAAATATTTTTCTTTTTTAAAAAAAATATTTGCCCCAACGGTTGAAACAGTTGGGGCAAATATTTGCCCTAACGGTTTCAACCGTTGGGGCCATTAGATAAATAAAAAAAAGAAAAATCAGCCAAAAATATTAAGCACAAATACTAAAGACCTGTCTGGAGATGATCATCATGCAACAAATTACACACCAGGAACATAGAGAAATTGGAATTGAAAAATTATACAGTGTTGAAGCTACCTCATATGCTTGAATTACACGTTGGATTATTGCATCTGCATCTACGTTATCTTTACATACATCAGGATAGAATTCCTTGACCTGCATAGAAAAATAAAGGTTACATACATTAATCAAAAAGAAGTTACATAAGTTAAACATTGGTCTAAGCCAGCATTACCATACCTAGGGAATGCTTTGGTCACGATACAGTCACGAGTATTTGGACGCTGCTTTAAACGGTATCTGATATTGAGAGTGTATGATTAAATTGATTTGTATTTAGGGTCATAGCACAATTTAGAACACTGGAATATTTGTCATTTTGATAATTAAGCATGTATTATTTGCGAGCATTTGTGGACAAAGAAGGGACATATATGTCTGCAACACATGCAAAACTAAAAGACTGATTATAGTAACCACCATCTTTTCAGAAAAATACAAAGAAAAAAAAAGAACAAATTAGCAAACGTTAGGAATCTAAGTGCCCACCATCTTGTGTAATGTGTGAGCCCCAGTGCGTGTTTGTGTAGGTAATTATGTACCTAAAACATGTACGGGATTGGACATCAAACAAAACTTTAACTCAAGAAGACCTCAGAAAGAGCTGATCAAATCTTTAACATCTACTGACACTATGAACATGAAGTGGGATTTTGGATTTATTTTGTTGGATGTCCTCATGCAGCAAACTAGAGGACATGGAACTGACTTGAGATATGGAATTGTACTCATCTCGGAGCAACAAAAGGAAAGAACATGAGATGCAATGGTGGTGTGAATGTCGACCGGTAGCAACACAAGATAGTGGTAAAAACAACATTCACTCGTTCAGATAAAGCAGTCAGAAATATTCAGAGCGAACTTAGAGTAAGCACATAATTTCCTCAGCATATAGAAGACTGCTTGTCAGCATTGATTTTGTGCAAGGATATATAATGGATGATGGTCATGCCAAAAGATAAAAATTGTGTCAAACAACATAAATTTTCTCTATGATCGGTTTTAATTACTTACAAACACGGTTGTCTTGCGTAAAAGTTAAGCCTTCTCAATGATATGTGCAATCACATTTTATGAACAACAGTTAAAAGTTCTAAAAAGCATAATCACTTCACTGACAAAAACAGGAAAGAGGTGGAAGCTTAAGGGCACAAGACAGAGGGTGTAAAAGCCAACAACAAAACCTTGAGTTTTAGTCAGAAAACATTCAATAATTAAGAAATTAAAGTACAAAAATGGCAAACCATATTCAGTGGAAAAAAAAATATTAGCATATGGATAAATACTATATCATTCAGGACATCCAATCATTGAATAAGTTAATTAACATTGACAGAGATGACCAAAGCAAATGTATCCAAGCACTTACGGCACTCCCATTCTGTAGCATCTGTACATTAGAAAATGTACAAAAAGAAACCATGAACTCGTTCCCATAAAATGACGAGCGAAGGAGACTACAAATATATACAATGCAGAGTTGTCATACTCACAAGTTCGGATTGGAGTTTATTGTTCAGCTGGAGTGCAGATTTCCTCCTCCGTAAGCCCTGAAATTAAAGCCATTTGCCTTGGTAAGCATGAGAAAGCAACTCAATTTTGATTCTATATAGTGTGAAATAATGTGTCAGTTTAATATATAAATTAGATATTTTGACAAAATACTAAGTTTACTAAGATTTGTGTGGAAGTTTCAAATAAGTAAAATTGAGAGGAAATAAAGAGAAGAATTGTTTTGGAGTAAGAATGAGTACTCACACCGTTACACGTAATGATTGATTTTTCTATGATTAAGTCCTGCAAAGAAGCATAGTGTTATTTAAGAGCTAAATACCCATATTGGTATTTTAATTCCACCCCATTTACCAAGAAGGTATTTTAATTAGGCAAACCTGTTTTAAGGTATTTTAATTGATTCAACTTACCAACAAGGCCCTTTTTCTCGTCGGCGATCAGTTTTTCGACGAGAGCTCGTCGCACGCGTGACACGTGATGAGTGATAGGTGAGAGATGAGCTTCTGGATTTCAGTGAATTATTGAAGTACCTTAGAAATTAATTGAAGGGAAGAGGGAAAAACGTATAACTAACAGAGACAAAAGCTTCTTGAGGAGTGATAGTTGAGAGATGAGCTTGATTTAGCGAGGAGTTAGAGGTTGCCATGCCTGAAGCCATTGATGAGATTATGGGATTATAATGTTTTGACAGCAGACTGAACTCTCCGAGGACTGAACCAAGCGATTTCTGGAGATGGCAACATTGGTAGAGATTAAGGGAAAGAGATGAATTAAGGAACATAAAAGAGTTTAATCCTTTAAAACTATTAGAAACGCATGAGATAAATGTTTGATCACATACATGGTAAAAACGTCATTCAATTGACAAAGGTAAAAGATAACCCAACAAAAGGAAGAATCAAATTAGTAAATTCACAGAACAATCCCTGGTCTCACCTGTTCCTATCCCAGAAAATATTTTTAAGGTTAAACATTTCGATTGGGATGAATATATTCTGTCAAAATCTAAAATAACTGTAATGTAC